TCTAGATCTTCATTTTTACTTCGGAAACTTTTCCGTTTTCAGTCTATTTCCTACTTTTTAATTTATTTTATTATTAGAATTATTATCACTTTAGTTTCTAGAGAAGCAATGAGAGGAAAGGAAAGGAATAATCATGGGTAAAGTGCCAAGCCAATACAGCACTGGGAAGGGGTCAGGATAAGGATTTGGGATGGGACGGGAGAAAGGAATGGTGCCCAACCACTTGTGGACGGTCGGGGATTGAACGCCGACCTGCATAAAGCGAAACCGTCGCTCTACCGCCCAGACCAAACGGTTGGGCACCACTTGGTCTGGGCGTAAGTGCGTGACGTGACGACAGCTACCAGAAGTCTTGACATACCTGTAGCTGCTTGAAATCAGTTTTATCTGCCTCATTCTCGTGATATTGTCCGTCACAGATAACTTCAGGGAACCTGTTGCACAAATTAGATTTTCGTTGGCGACTAGACACCCCAAGAAAGCCTATGATTGTACCACGTACCTCCAATCCTATTTTCAAACCAGTTTTCCTATTTATTTTCTAAATCAAAACCTATTAATTTTGAATACACTCGTATTATATTTTGGGTTTATATTTAAGCCCTATATTCCCGTGGCTTAATACTTTCATCCAGATGTACATTTTAATCATGTCCTTTGATTCCTTCTCTACAACTTTCTAGAAATTGTAAAATTATATTTTTAGTCTCTACCCAAGCGAGGTTCCCAGTGGCAGGGATTAGCATAGTCATCCTTCTCTCTACTGCTTCTGGAGAATTTACATCTATTAAATTTGTAGAGGGTTCAGAACTGCAGGTATAGACTAGCTTCGGTCTGTGTTCTACTCCCTTCTTCGTGGCCCTGCTTTGTGTCTTCCCTTCCTCCTTTGTTACTTCACTTTCCATTTGGTTCCAGTTGTCTCTTCCTCCTCATTCTGCATTTTAAATTCCTTTCTTTATTTTCTTTCCCTATCCCTCCCTCCCTCCTTTCCATCCCCATCTCTCCCTCCCTCGGTACCACAGTGAGGAGCCGAAATCATTTACATGTTTATAGCCGGGGACCTGGGAAGCCTGATGTGATTTTCCGAGAACCTGTTGAGTATTATGGAATGCATAAGAAACGAGAGATGTGGCGAGCGTGAGACCTTGCGAATATTTCCTCCTCTCTCACAGTCCGCGAGGCTCCCTCGTCTGTCACATTCGCGGCACCATTAGTCTGGCCTTGATTATATTTTTCTTTGCTGACTTCAATGATTTGAAGATCCACCCTTAAGACAAGGTGGATTCAAAAGGACCAAATCCAGGTTGGCGTCTAGTGTCCCCCCAAAAATCCTCCAATGCGAAAAATCATAAGTTTTTTGTTGTCGCTGCTAGAGGTTACGCGCATGTGTTTATGTGTATGTATGTATGTATGTATGTATGTATGTATGTATGTATGTATGTATGTATGTATGTATGTATGTATGTATGTATGTATATATATATATATATATATATATATATATATATATATATATATATATATATATATATATATATATATATATGAATGAGAGCTAATTGGCTGTTCGTGTCAACAAGCTGTTGACACCTGATCAAAGGCCAGGCGATGGTGGTGGGTGTGGTTGATGGTGGTGGGTGTGGTTAGTGATAGTGGTTGGTGGTAGGTGTTACGTTTATAAAGTAACATGAGGGGGTGGCCTGCTTCTCCCGGGTCTCTGCTCCCCCCCCCCATTTCCCTCTCCCTCATCTCCCTGCCTTTTCCACTCTCTCTCCCACTCTGACAACTCTCTACTTCCCTCTCTCCAAAAATCCCTCCTTCCCGCCCTTTCTCTCTCATTTTAATTACAGTTTTCTGGCTAATGACCGCCTCTCTGTTGATGTTTTGTTCATCGTGACTGTTCACTTGTGGTGAGCCCGTGTGCACCCTTCTCCTCAGGGCTGTGTTCACCGTTCACTGCTGTGAACATCTTTCCTCTCCCGACACAGCCTAGCGGGCAATGAATGCTAGGCTGCTGTTCGGTGCTCGTCTATCGCAGCGTCTAGCTGGGATGGTGAGACACTGAAGGCTTCCTGTGCAAGTTTCCTGGATACTGGTTTGTTTACAGTATCACACGTATCATCGACAGCCACACATGTGTCAGCCAAAACCACACATGTGTCGCCGACAGCTTCAGCCACATGTAAATAATCAACAACAAAGCCCTTCATTGTAACTCGCCATTTTCTATTATTAAATGAAAATTAATATAATCCAAGCAAAGTTTCCTTCCATTGCGTTGGTGCCGAGGATCAACGTCCTCACGGCCCGGTCTCTGATCAGGCTGATAAATATCTTCAATAAAATCATTAAAATCAGTTACATTAAAAATAGTAGAGCTCCCCCACCCCTCAAAAAAAAAAAAAAAAACTTGTCTCAAACAAGTTCAATCAGTTTACCATCAGCTAAATTATTGTAAAAATCTGAAAAAATTATGTATGCAAATTGTGTTATGTCGATAAAGACAATATAAAATTATTATTAACATGACTTTATAAAACGGGAAAGCCTATTTTATTTGACATCACAACAACTGCTTCACCGGACGAGGCTAGAGAATGTTGATTAATTGGTACGAGTCTTAATCCTGGGGGTGATTAACTGCTGGATTATTTTGAGTATTTGGGGCTGATCTGAGAGTTACTTCCAATATCGCGGGAATGTGAGGGTGAATTACGCACTTGTTCCTACCTTTTTGTGGTTGTCAGGCTTCCTCTTCTCTTTTTCGTGGTGGTGTGAGAGGGGCTTCCTCCTCTCTTCCTCATGGTGGTGTGAGAGCTTCCTCCTCTCTTCCTCATGGTGGTGTGAGAGCTTCCTCCTCTCTTCCTCATGGTGGTGTGAGAGCTTCCTCCTCTCTTCCTCATGGTGGTGTGAGAGCTTCCTCCTCTCTTCCTCATGGTGGCGTGTAAGAGTTTCCTCCTCTCTTCCTCATGGTGGCGTGTGAGAGTTTCCTCCTCTCTTCCTCATGGTGGCGTGTGAGTTTCCTCCTCTCTTCCTCATGGTGGCGTGTGAGAGTTTCCTCCTCTCTTCCTCATGGTGGTGAGGGGCTTCCTCCTCTCTTCCTCATGGTGGCGTGTGAGAGTTTCCTCCTCTCTTCTTCATGGTAGCGTGTGAGAGTTTCCTCCTCTCTTCCTCATGGTGGTGTGAGGGGCTTCCTCCTCTCTTCCTCATGGTGGTGTGAGGGGCTTCCTCCTCTCTTCCTCATGGTGGTGTGTGAGGGCTTCCTCCTCTCTTCCTCATGGTGGTGTGAGGGCTTCCTCCTCTCTTCCTCATGGTGGTGGTGTGAGGGCTTCCTCCTCTCTTCCTCATGGTGGTGTGTGAGGGCTTCCTCCTCTCTTCCTCATGGTGGTGGGTGAGAGCTTCCTCCTCTCTTCCTCATGGTGGTGTGTGAGGGCTTCCTCCTCTCTTCCTCATGGTGGTGTGAGGGCTTCCTCCTCTCTTCCTCATGGTGGTGTGTGAGGGCTTCCTCCTCTCTTCCTCATGGTGGTGTGTGAGAGCTTCCTCCTCTCTTCCTCTTGGTGTGTGAGGGCTTCCTCCTCTCTTCCTCATGGTGGTGTGAGAGCTTCCTCCTCTCTTCCTCATGGTGGTGTGAGAGCTTCCTCCTCTCTTCCTCATGGTGGTGTGAGAGCTTCCTCCTCTCTTCCTCATGGTGGTGTGAGGGGCTTCCTCCTCTCTTCCTCATGGGCGTGTGAGGGCTTCCTCCTCTCTTCCTCATGGTGGCATGTGAGGGCTTCCTCCTCTCTTCCTCATGGTGGCGTGTGAGAGCTTCCTCCTCTCTTCCTCATGGTGGTGTGAGAGCTTCCTCCTCTCTTCCTCATGGTGGTGTGAGGGGCTTCCTCCTCTCTTCCTCATGGGCGTGTGAGGGCTTCCTCCTCTCTTCCTCATGGTGGTGTGTGAGGGCTTCCTCCTCTCTTCCTCACGGTGGCGTGTGAGAGCTTCCTCCTTCCTCCTTCCGCCCGCACGAGAGCTAATGTTGGGAGACGCACCACAATGCTACCTACGTCAGTGGTTATTTGGGTAACTTCTTGTTGTTATTTCCGGTTCAGGCAAACGGAGATGGCTAACACGTGTCTTAAGAATTCTTCTTCTTGATGGTACGTGTAGTTTGCATAAAGGGTCTTATCCTCCCGGTGACTGCACGTCTTAAAGAGCACTTGATGCACTTGGCGCCATGGGCCGAGTTTTGTTTATATCGTCAGCTGATCGCGTCAGCTGATCTTCTGTTGTCAGAGCTTCGTTTTCTATGATTGTCCAGGCGGCTTAATTTATAGATATAAAATATTGCTTAATTTTTTCTTGGTAGAAGATATTTAGCCAATGCTTTAGCTGTTTGATATTTTATGTGTAGTGAGAGGTCTCCTCCCCTAATATATGCTCGATGTTAAAGGACATTTTTGAGGATGATAAGTATTTGTTTGATAATTCCGGCAGTATGATATCTGAAGTAGGGATGGTGATGCTAAATTGTCTCTGGAACATGGTAGTGGACGCAAAGTTCACTGATGTGTGTCCTGTATGTATAGCTGTGTGCTGTATGCATAGCTGTGTCCTGTATGTATAGCTGTGTGTTGTGTCACAGCCTCATGGTCAGTGTTAGGTCTATTTCTGTCTCCTAATGTGTCTGTTTCAAAGTTTCCCAGGTCTTTTTAATAGTGCCATAGTACTGTATAGTGAAGATCACCATGTATGGTGCCATAGTATAGTGAAAAGCACCATGTATACCATGTATGGTGCCATAGTATAGTGAAGAGCACCATGCATGGTGCCACAGTATTTTGGACTCAAAATACTTTGGACTCAAAATACTGGACTTTGTAGATATTTTGAGTCATTTGGACTCAAATGTCATTCCTCAAATAGATGTTATTTGAGGAATGTTCGGAATGATTTTTATCCGGGTTGACCCCCAGAAACTGTTGATGTAGAACGCTGAGGCTGAGCAAATTGTTAAAACTTCATAGTTTGATTAGTTTATATTATTTTAATTTTTAACAGTTTTTTCATCTCCTAATTTTGTGATATTAATTATACCAATATTTGCTTTACCGTTTGAATGGTAAACCATAGTTTGCTTTTACAGTATATATATGTATATATATATATATATATATATATATATATATATATATATATATATATATATATATATATATATACAGTATATATATATATGTATCATCTGCTGTATGGCGTGAATATTTTCTCATCTTAACAGACGGTGATATTAGCTTGTCAGTATTATACACTGTTGTGTGGTAGTAGTTGACTTAGTAGTAGCAGCAGTAGCAGCAGCAGCAGCAGCAGCAGCAGCAGCAGCAGCAGCAGCAGCAGCAGCAGCAGCAGCAGCAGCAGCAGCAGCAGCAGCAGCAGCAGCAGCAGTAGCAGCAGCAGCAGCAGCACTAACAACAGAAGATTGTTCCCTTATCTTAGGCCAAAATATGCAGCGGCCGAACATGCCAGAACGGCAAAGTCAACTCCAGAATAATGAGAACTGCCAAAGAGTTAAACGAAAGCACTTGCCGAAAACAGCAAGTAACTTTCCAACTTGTATCGCAAGTACCAGGAACCTGGCTGGGGCCGGGTACTGCTAAACTGGTTCAGACATTCAGTACCTGGGTCTTTCATTTGTTCATCATGTGTTACAAAATTAATGTGATTTTCAGTGTGCGGCACTTTTGCTTAACATTATAACAACCAAAAAGTGCTTCTATACAACCATAAATTAATATTTAGCGATGACATCTCCGCGTTGATGTGGAGTCTGAAGTGTTGAACCCAACGACACTTTGAAAGGAACTTTTCAAATGGAAATTCATCAAAATACACTGAATTTGAGCTGCTATGGAACTGAGGTTTCACACGTTGGTAGATTATGTTGACCAGACCACACACTAGAAGGTGAAGGAACGACGACGTTTCGGTCCGTCCTGGACCATTCTCAATCGACTTGAGAATGGTCCAGGACAGACCGAAACGTCGTAGTCCCTTCAACTTTTAGTGTGTGGTCTGGTCAACATACTTCAGCCACGTTATTGTGACTCATCACCTGCATTTGGTAGATTATGATGTGCTAGGCAACAGGGTTCAGATATTGGAAGAGCTTCTTCTGCATCGTCTGCCTACAGTTGCCCTTCATCTGCGCCTCCAGCATCTTCTTCTCGTTGGCGGCAAGGCGACGCTCCAAGCAGATTTCGATGTCTTCATTGGCCATTAGACTCGCGAGGTTCAGTTCTTTGACAACGAAGTGGTCAGGACCCAGAGCAAATATTATCTGGGGCTCGGCCTCCTCCAGTAGTCGAAGGCCCTCACGGAATTCCTTGAAGTAGATCCTGGCTTTACCCAGTTTGAAAAGGAATATGGAGTAGGTAGGATGATCTGCTCCGTAGCAGTACCTGTGGTGAGAAATGCATTTTTTTAGTCAATATTAGCTGTTGGAACATGAAAGATAGATTATATTAATCAGGAAAATTAGATGGGACAATGTTATAGAGTACATTTGTTGTTGACCAGACCACACACTAGAAGGTGAAGGGACGACGACGTTTGGGTCCGTCCTGGATCCCTTCCCCCCCCCCTTTTCCCCTTCTACCTGTCAAGTCCCCTGACATCAATCATGTCAAGTTCTCCTCACCTCATTCCTGCGAGGTTCTCTTCGCCGTAATCAAGAGCTCGACTCCAGAAGCCCTTGAACATGGCGGCGTTGAAGGCGAAGTCGAGAGTACGAACTCTCCAGACGTTCTTGTGGTGGAAGAGGTTACCCTGCATCGCTATCACCTCCAGCAGCTGCTCCACATCTGCCTCAACGTTAAGGAACGTCTCTCCGTGCTCCATTAGCAAAGGTTATCATCTAATATAGTCTCTGAAGTGTCATATATGCGGGGAAAACCACATGTGAAAAATAGAGAATGCTAAACGGGATTTTTTTGGGGTCAATTCGCCTTCATCAGAGCAAAATAGAATCTATTTTGCTCTGATGAAGGCGAAATTGAGGAGAAAATTGAGAGAAAACGGATACTGGGATTCTCCTCGGTCATGGTCTTGAGGGCGTTTTTGGTAAAGGCGACGGCGTCTTGGTATCTCTTGACGATGGCGGCCGGCACCTCCTGTCCACACTCCCTGCATCTTCCCGGCTGGCCTGCGCCCGGCTGCCCTGCGCCCGGCTGCCCTGCGCCCGGCTGCCCTGTAGCCGGCTGCCCAGCGCCCGGCTGCCCAGCGCCCTGCTGCCCAGCGCCCGGCTGGCCTGTCCTCGTCTCGGGGATGAACACGGGCGCCTTACACTCGACGTTCTCTACAAGGAAAACGGAGGGGGGATAAAAGCCTATTATATATTACATAATAATCAAATAGTTTTCGCTTTTTGTTTCATAAAAGAGAAACATTGTCATCAGCTATTTATTTTATAGTCATATTTAGTTATATTTATATATAGTCATCAGCTATATTTTTTTGCAATTCATAAATTGCCAAAAATGGCGCATTCTCATTTCAAAAGCCATATGTGGTTCCCTCTCCTTCTCATTATGCACTCTCCTTCCTCACATCTCTCACCTGCCCCTCACCAGGGATACGAGTGGAAGCTGTTGGGCCTCTCTCAACACCTGGGAAAAGGCCTAATGTCTAAGAAACTGTGGGGGGGGGGGACCTAAGATCCTCTAATTTATACATCAGTATCCCTTTCAAAATTATATTCAAGTATTGAGAAAGAAAATTATGGAACTCCCGAAGGAAATAAACTTTGTGATAAATGGCAACTTGGTTTTAAAGAGAGGAATATCGAATATTAATTATATACAATTATATAATTATATTAATTATATATATATATCCCTGGAAACACAACCCGAAACTGTCTCTAATTTCCGCTTGTTACAACTTGTAATAAAGTTGTTACATCTTGGCTTAACGTGTTTATGACGTATTAGAACGTTGTTACAACTTGCTATATTGGTTGTTATAACTGGTTAGGAGGTGTTCAAACTTGTTCCAACGTTGTACCAACGTCGTAGTTTCGGTGTGTGTGTGGCGGGATGTCATGCCTAACAAACTTAATAGAGTTCTAGAACAAAGTTACCAAAAGACACGAGGGAAGCTGGGTAGATCAGTTGCTTCTTCCAGAAAGGTCATACACCTTTAGATATTGCTGTACAAAATAAGGTGAGTGGATAATATGGAGAAATAAGCAAGGATAACGGGAAGAACACTGAGTAGGGTAAAGGAGTACCTAAGGGAGATGAAAGAAAACAAGATTGATATGAAAGTGCACACTCAGGAGGACTGTAGAGCACCCTAGGAAGACCTTGACAACCTCCAGGGGGCAGATTCACGAAGCAGTTACGCAAGCACTTACGAACCTGGAGCCAGATCCACGAAGCAGTTACGCAAGCACTTACGAACGTGTACATCTTTCCTCAATCTTTGACGGCTTTGGTTACATTTATTAAACAGTTTACAAGCATGAAAACTTGCCAATCAACTGTTGTTATTGTTATAAACAGCCTCCTGGTGCTTCGGAGCTCATTAACTGTTTAATAATGGTAAACAAAGCCGCCAAAGATTAAGAAAAGATATACAGGTTCGTAAGTGCTTGCGTAACTGCTTCGTGAATCTGGCCCCAGGAGTGGTGGCAGAGAACACGTGTAAGGTGATGACGAGGAGAATAAGGTGGCAGGAGACCAGAAAGAATCTATGAAAGTATATAAAACATTTATAATTCTAAACAATAACATTTTCAAGACCATGTACAGAGTCTGTATGGGACCACTGCTAGAGTGTGCGGCACTGGAATGGAATCCACACTTTGTGAAGCAAAAACAATATAATATACATCGGTTTGCAATAAGATTTGTACAGAATTAGTAAGAGCTCAGCTATGAGGAAAAATTTTGTGACGTCAACCTCATGACTATATAGGAAAGAAGGAGCAAAAGGGACATGATCACTACATCCATGATACAGACGGGGAATAGATTAGGACGAGGAACAACCTTTTTAAATTTCGAAAAAATAGGACTAGTTGATATCAGTGGAAACTCGAAAGGCAATTATGTCGTAAACATGTAAGGAAACAAATCCACAAAGGCCGTGACGAGGATTCGAACCTACGTCCCTTCCTTCACCCACCACACTCACCACACACTCATCTACCTCACTCACGACCTTCCAATACACAAATACCCACCACAGACGATGGAGTTCTCAATCCGGGCCCTCTCCTCGTCCTGGCAGAGGCTGCAGTCACACCAAAAGAACCACTTCTTGTACAGATTCTCCCGTCGACTGGTCACGCTGTTTACCGGATCCACGTAGCCAATGCGACACTGTGAATGGTGAACCAGAGTTAATAGTGAGCCAGGATAAGAGCCAGGGGTAATAGAAAAAGCTAGGGATATTAGTAAGTTAGGGATAATGGTGAGGAAGGATGTCTGAAGACGTTGACCAGACCACACACTAGAAGGTGAAGCGACGGACCGAAACGACGACGTTTCGGTCCGTCGTGGACCATTCTCAAGTCGATTGAGGATATTTGACCTACCTGCAAAGACTGCCCTGCATGCTACGGTGCCAATATCAATGGTAACCACTGTGAAGGCTCACAGTAGAGGGAACTAACGTATGCACAGGCACCCGCCGAGGTTCAATGCACCTCAGAATTAGAAAGTGAATCGGAATTACAACTGTACACTTCTGTACGAATCAAAATCTAAAAGCATAATCTTACAATTACAATCGCCGTGATAATCTTACAATGCACCAAGATATCACATTAACATGATGTAGCGATTAGACAATTAGTAGAAGCCATGATGAGGTTCCCACTGTGTACATACTGGGTACTCCCAAAGACACTGAGTACTCCCAGAGACACTGCGTACTCCCAGAGACACTGCGTACTCCCAGAGACACTGCGTACTCCCAGACACACTACGTACTCCCAGAGACACTGCGTACTCCCAGAGACACTGCGTACTCCCAGAGACACTGCGTACTCCCAGAGACACTGCGTACTCCCAGAGACACTGCGTACTCCCAGAGACACTGCGTACTCCCAGAGACACTGCGTACTCCCAGACACACTACGTACTCCCAGAGACACTGCGTACTCCCAGAGACACTGCGTACTCCCAGAGACACTGCGTACTCCCAGAGACACTGCGTACTCCCAGAGACACTGCGTACTCCCAGAGACACTGCGTACTCCCAGAGACACTGCGTACTCCCAGACACACTACGTACTCCCAGAGACACTGCGTACTCCCAGAGACACTGCGTACTCCCAGAGACACTGCGTACTCCCAGAGACACTGCGTACTCCCAGAGACACTGCGTACTCCCAGAGACACTGCGTACTCCCAGAGACACTGCGTACTCCCAGAGACACTGCGTACTCCCAGACACACTACGTACTCCCAGAGACACTGCGTACTCCCAGAGACACTGCGTACTCCCAGAGACACTGCGTACTCCCAGAGACACTGCGTACTCCCAGAGACACTGCGTACTCCCAGAGACACTGCGTACTCCCAGAGACACTGCGTACTCCCAGAGACACTACGTACTCCCAGAGACACTGCGTACTCCCAGAGACACTGCGTACTCCCAGAGACACTGCGTACTCCCAGAGACACTGCGTACTCCCAGAGACACTGCGTACTCCCAGAGACACTGCGTACTCCCAGACACACTACGTACTCCCAGAGACACTGCGTACTCCCAGAGACACTGCGTACTCCCAGAGACACTGCGTACTCCCAGAGACACTGCGTACTCCCAGAGACACTGCGTACTCCCAGAGACACTGCGTACTCCCAGAGACACTGCGTACTCCCAGAGACACTGTGTACTCCCAGAGACACTGCGTACTCCCAGAGACACTGAGTACTCCCAGAGACACTGCGTACTCCCAGAGACACTGAGTACTCCCAGAGGTACTGCGTACTCCCAGAGACACTGCGTACTCCCAGAGACACTGAGTACTCCCAGAGGTACTGCGTACTCCCAGAGACACTACGTACTCCCAAACACACACACTAATCACTGCAAAAGATTACATATCACCAAGACATTAATAACAATCAAATAATCAAGTCATAAAACAAAAATAACCAAAGTTATCAACATTAATTACTCAGACCAAACTTAAAAGCGGCGATGATCTGGATAGTCCGTAGGTCGCTAAGACGACCTTCAGGCCCTTCAGTGATTAAGGATCACAGCGATAATTAACGATCTAGCGGGGAAGATCACCTCGTTACTTCTGGAGACAGTAGCGCCGCGCGACTTCATACAATCACTCACTACGGGGTAAGATTGTTGAGGTGAGAAACTCAGTTTCTTCACAATCTTTTATCATATTGCTCGCTGCGCGAGCATCCTCATTATCACACTATTCACCATCACTACCACACTACTTACCATCACTACCACACTACTCACCACCATCACTACCACACTACTCACCATCATCATCACTACCACACAACTCACCATCACTACCACACTACTCACCATCATCATTACTACCACACTACTCACCAACACCATCACTACCACACTACTCACCATCATCATCACTACCACACTACTCACCAACACCATCACTACCACACAACTCACCATCACTACCACACTACTCACCATCATCATCACTACCACACAACTCACCATCACTACCACACTACTCACCATCATCACTACCACACTACTCACCATCACTACCACACTACTCACCATCATCACTACCACACTACTCACCATCACTACCACACTACTCACCAACACTACCACACTACTCACCATCATCACTACCACACTACTCACCATCACTACCACACTACTCACCATCACTACCACACTACTCACCATCATCACTACCACACTACTCACCATCACTACCACACTACTCACCATCACTACCACACTACTCACCATCATCACTACCACACTACTCACCACCATCATCACTACCACACTACTCACCATCACTACCACACTACTCACCATCACTACCACACTACTCACCACCATCACTACCACACTACTCACCATCACTACCACACTACTCACCATCACTACCACACTACTCACCATCACTACCACACTAATCACCACCATCATCACTACCACACTACTCACCATCACTACCACACTACTCACCAACACCATCACTACCACACTACTCACCATCATCACTACCATACTACTCACCATCATCACTACCACACTACTCACCAACACCATCACTACCACACTACTCACCATCATCACTACCATACTACTCACCATCATCACTACCACACTACTCACCATCATCACTACCACACTACTCACCATCATCACTACCACACTACTCACCAACACCACCACTACCACACTACTCACCATCATCACTACCACACTACTCACCACCATCATCACTACCACACTACTCACCATCACTACCACACTATTCACCATCACTACCACACTACTCACCATCATCACTACCACACTACTCACCATCACTACCACACTACTCACCATCATCACTACCACACTACTCACCATCACTACCACACTACTCACCATCATCACTACCACACTACTCACCATCACTACCACACTACTCACCATCATCACTACCACACTACTCACCATCACTACCACACTACTCACCAACACCATCACTACCACACTACTCACCATCACTACCACACTACTCACCACCATCACTACCAAACTACTCACCACCATCACTACCACACTACTCACCACCATCACTACTCACCATCACTACCACACTACTCACCACCATCACTACCACACTACTCACCACCATCACTACCACACTACTCACCACCATCACTACCACACTACTCACCATCATCACTACCACACTACTTACCATCACTACCACACTACTCACCATCACTACCACACTACTCACCATCATCACTACCACACTACTTACCATCACTACCACACTACTCACCATCACTACCACACTACTCACCATCACTACCACACTACTCACCATCATCACTACCACACTACTCACCATCACTACCACACTACTCACCATCATCAATACCACACTACTCACCATCACTACCACACTACTCACCATCACTACCACACTACTCACCATCACTACCACACATCTTGACAGTCGCCGTCAAACTGCACTTGACAAGTTGAGGATAAAGTCCTGTCAATAATGTGTACGGTGTTGCTAAGAGAAGTTGACGGGTGATCAAAATGGTGTGAGGACCATGAACATTTTCCCTTGCCTGCCCCTCTGGCCAGCCCTGGTGATCCTCTTGACTATATTGTCTGGCATCTAGGATATTAGCACCTGCTTAACTGGCTGGCCATGTGACTAGTTATTCTGGCAAAATGGAGCGTCTTGGGGCTCACGACGTGGCGCAGCTCCTAAGGAAGAAAATAAAAACTCTTGGTTTCGGGTTTTTCGGTACAGTGGACCTTGTTAACTGGCACGGAGAGCAGGCTGCACTTAAAGTAGCCATCGATGCATCGGCTGCTGAGAGCTTCGAGCGGGAAGCCAGCGTCTTGTCAGAGCTGAAGGGGGCTGGAGGCGCGCCCCTCCTACTGGCGGTGTCTCACGACCCCTCAGCTCTCCTGACGACTTATAAAGGAAGCACCAACCTGGACAAGGTAATGTGGGACCAACAGTACGACTTGGTGAAGATCGGACTCCAGGTCGGCATAAAACTATTGCACATCCATTCAAAGGGCTATGTTCATAATGATGTAAAATCCGATAACATTATGATTCAAGGATCACCCCAGCAGCCTAAAATTAGCCTGATTGATTTCGGCCTGGCCTGCAAGAGCGGGAAATCTGTCTTCACGAAAGACGACTACTTGGATCTCCCGTTCTTCGCCCCAGAAGTTCTTGACGGGCACCGCAGCACATTTGCCGCCGATGTGTTTTCCTACGGTCGCTTGATGCAACAGATCCTAGAGGTAACAGGTACCAAAGATCCGGTACTAGTGAACCTGTTCCAAGAGGCGACACTGTCCAACCAAGAGTGGCGGCCATCCCTGCCCAACCTGCTCCGCCGCCTACAAGACCACATCAGAGACGACACCACCACGGACTCCACCTTCCACCGAGACCGCAAGAGGATTGAGCGGTATGAGGCAAAGTGCGCCAAGTGGGGGACAGACAGAGACGGACTGAGGATGCCTAAGGAGCAGGTTATGAGGGACAAGGCGCGGACGGAGGAATATTTATGCTTTCTCCGGGAGAAAATGTATGGTATCTTCACCCTGTGAGAAGGAACTGATTTAACATTATTAAGTTTATAATAAAAAATAAAAAAAATAAAAAGTACTTTTATTAAATTACATATTTTTTGTGTTATTAATATGTGTGTGTGTGTGTTGAGAATTGGTAAAAGTACATCCATTTACAAGCATCCACACGGCCTGTCTGTCTCTAGAACATCACTTCTTAATGTATTCCATTTTGTTAACTACTCGGACACTGAACAAATTCTTCCTAATGTCTTTGGTCTTCTTTAACCACTCTCACACCATGGGCACCAATCCTTCCCTCCGTCCCATCCCAAATCCTTATCCTGATCCCTTCCCAGTGCTATATAGTCGTAATGGCTTGGTGCTTTCCACCTGATAGTTCCTTTCACTCTCACATCAGAGTCAATGAGACGATGAGTCCCAATAACGTGGCTGAAGATATGATGACCAATATGATGATGGAGAAGCGAGTACAATGTTTCAGTCCGTCATGGACCATAATCAAATCATGTGTGACTTGATGATGACATGATAATGACTTGATAACGGTTCTAGTACGGACCAAAAACGTTGCCGTTTCTCCATCTTCTGATATGTCATTGGTCATCAGGATAAGGATTTGGGATGGGACGGGTGAGGGAAGGAATGGTGCCCAAGCACTTGTGGACAGTCGGGGGATTGAACGCCGACCTGCATGAAGCGAAACCCTCGCTCTACCGTCCAGCCCAAATGGTTGGGAGAAGTCTTCAATAACTAACTGTAAAAACATTTTCACCAGAAACAGTACTGAATCAGCCTTAATACAAATCACAAAGCCATTCGTGGCTTACCATTTAACAAGACCCCATGTATACCATTTTACACTTACCACCATCTCAATTCTCTCTGTCAAATTGACAGTCTGTCCCTTCCGTCCGTCTTACCTTACTGTAGTCGAGGACGGGCATGTCAACGAGGGTTCTAATCTGAACCTTCTTGCCGGTGAAGGAGATGAAACAGTTGGGCTTGCAGGCATGATCAAAGATGGAGGCTGAGAGATACATAGCCGAGCCAATAGTCAAGAGCGTTTTCTCCATCAGACTGAATCTGTTCACCAGCATCTGTGCCGAGGAGATGATAAAAATTATTATTAACATTTTTATATATTATTTTATTTATTAGGATCGGTAATAAAGGAGGTAACACGGCAGACATAAATAATTACTGACCCATATCGAATCTACCTATATTATCAAAAATATTTGAAAAAAATTATTTACAAACAGCTCTACTCCTATCTTGTAAAATTCAATATACTTAGTCCCTGTCAGTTTGGCTTCCGCTCCCAAAAGAGTACCAATGATGCCATTGTTAGTCTGCTTGACTTAATCTGCTCAGCCCTTGACAAAAGTGAATATCCGATTGGACTCTTCATCGACCTGAGAAAGGCCTTTGATACTGTTAACCATAACGACCTCTTACTTAAACTCCAAGATTATGGAGTCCGTGGCCTTGGCCTGAACTATATCCGATCTTATCTTAGTGAGAGACACCAATATGTAGCCATCAATGATATAACCTCTCCTACTCTACCACTAACCGTAGGGGTACATCCTAGGGCCCCTCCTGTTTCTTATATACATAAATGATCTCCCTAATGTCTCTAACATGCTTAAACCTATATTGTTTGCTGATGATACTACTCTCATCTACTCTGACCCCAACCCACTCATGTTAAATAATATTGTTAACAATGAATTAAAAAAAGTCCACTTGTGGATGTCAACCAACAAACTCACACTAAACATAGAAAAGGCCTACTATATCTTATTTGGAAACAAATCAACAAATGCAATTCAGCTTCAGATAGATAATGTAAACATTAGCAATAAAAATGATGGAAAGTTTCTTGGCCTGTACTTAGACAAGAGACTCAACTTCAGCACCCATATACAACACATAACTTAAAAGGTTTCTAAAACAGTTGGTATACTCTCTGAGATCAGATATTATGTACCCTACTCTGCTCTCCTCTCACTCTATTATGCACTTATCTATCCCTATCTTACTTATGGTATCTGTGCTTGGGGTTCAACCTCTGCAAACTACCTCAAGCCCATCATCATCCAGCAAAAGTCTGCTATCAGGACAATAACTAACTCTACCATCAGATAACACACAGCTCCCTTGTTCAAATCCCTAAACATGCTAAACATAAATTCACTCCATACATTCTCTTGTGTAAATTACGTGTATAAAACCCTTTTTCTAAGTGCAAACCCTGTTCTGAAACTCTTCCTGGACAGATGTAATAGAACACATGCCAACCACACCAGACATAAATATCTCTTTGATATCCCCAGAGTCAAACTTAATCTATATAAACACTCTATGCAAATAAAGGGACCTAGTCTAGGGAACTCACTCCCTAATGATTTGAAAAGCTGTCCAACTTTTGCCTTATTCAAAAATAAAACCAAAAAGTACCTAATTTCATCTTCATGGTTTTCTACCAAGTGCTATATCTTCACATTGTATCTAGTGCTACTCAATCCCCCAATATTTGTACCTAAGCCATATTACTTTACCATTGTAATCTTAGATATAATCTGATATCATGGTTGTTGTATTGAGTGCATTTTCTACTGCATCATTCCTTGAAACTTTTCCTGGAAATAATCCTCATATTGTGCTTCAGTGAACCAATGTATAACCCTGAAATGTTATCCTCATGTACCTAGTAATCCTTGTTTCTTTATTGTATTGTTATTATTGTGTATTATTCTAATCTGCTTTTGTGTCAAAATTTCTTCAAATTACCTGTAAACATTTTTTGTTGATTTTACTGTAATTATTCTACTTAAAATTATCTGTACCTGTAAAGAAAACCTGTAAAATACCTGCTAACATTTTTTTTATCAATTTTACTGTTAATTTATCATTTATTTTTTCTCTTAGTTTAAGGACTTGCCCGAAACGCTATGCGTGCTAGTGGCTTCACAAGAATGTTAATTCAACTTATTTTCTATATTCTCTGTTAAAACCCAGTGTAACTTCTTGTATATAAATAAATAAATAAATAAATAAATAAATAAATAAATAAATAAATAAATAAATAAATAAATAAATAAATAAATACATAAATAAATAAATATTGACAAAGTTTAATTACAATTTTGCCTAATCTGAGGATTTCAATTAAGTCTTACTAAAGTGAGGATAATGCTGGTATTCACTGTCACGCAGGACAGAGGGTCATACACAAGACAATAGGTCTAAACTGTAGGCTGAAGCACATATATAATATCTATATAATATCATGGTTACAGTCTATGTTTTAATATATGAATATGTAAAATCAACTTTCTATTGTGCACTGCCACACAAGGGCAGGAATGGGTTCATAAGAGATGCAACTTAAAAAATAATAAAAGAAAATTGTTCCTCATTCTTTAAAATGGACAAGCAAATTTTGGATAAATTGTTAGGATGTCATCCAGGATACCTGAGTCAATGAAATAGTTACACAGCTGGTGGTACAAGAGGCCAGGAGGTCTAAAATCCTTTACGGTTTCACATTCATCATTATAGTGTTCTAGTGAGTGCATTAAAGGTTTATCACAGAGTTTACAATCTGAGTATTCTGGTAGTGGCTCAGCCTCACTAACCTGCCAGATGTGTCTATAGCCAAGGCAAATTACCACAATGACTACATCACATTGCCTGGTCCGGTTACTGTGCTGACCATACAAATACTTATTATTACAAAACTTGTCATAACATTTAATACTGCAGCTTTCAGGTTTCTGGGCATTTCTTAGTTCTTCTAAATCTGAATTAATTTCTTTAATTTGTATGTTTATAATAACTGTATTAGATAGTCCAAAGTCATAATCAAAGTTTTCTTTCCTGCAAGCCTCATTGGCCAATCGATCTACAAAGTCATGTTTTCCAACTCCAACATGGAATGGGATCTACACAAATTTTATACAATAGTTATTATCATTGGCAAAAACTCCATTCCATTTAATATTACAAGCTACTTCAGACATACATTGTGATGGGTTATTTAAGGACTGCAGAGCACTTTTAGAGTCACAGAATATCACTTCACCACCATTGAGCTTAAGGTACTCAGTGGCTAGATAAATACCCAATAGCTCGGTCTGTGTCGTGCTTGCCCAGTTGTTCAATCTCTGTGTACTAGACATGATCATTTCATTCCCTTTATGTACTGCACATGCACAACCTGTTCTACCAGTGCCTAACTGCACAGAGCCATCAGTAAAGGCATAGGATTCAGTTGGTTTGAGATTTTGAAGATGACTGTCAATAGCTTCTAATGTTATAGATCTCATAGTTTCAGTGTTATACATTTGTTTTACACTGATGGGGGTATAATGCAGAGAGACCTCCACATCTTTCCAAGGGGGAATATAGTGAACAGTTTTATCAGGGTTAAGAGACACAATTAGTTTCAGAAGATTATAGGCACAACAACTGAGCCACACACTGTAAGGAGCTTTTTGCGGCGGATTGAGGGAACAGTCAGAATTGTTTAGAATGGATCTCAATTTAATTTGGATAGAGCTGGGGGGACCATTATTTTTGTAAAGTCTTGGCACAAAAGCATATTATTAAGTAGAACTATTCTCTCGTAAACTGAAGATAATTTTAGTTCCTTTCTCATGTTAACAATTCTGACAATTCGAGGACAACCCAGGATGATGCGCATGGCATCATTCTGCACTACATCTAGGCCTTCAAGTATTAGATTTGGGGGTAAGGTCTATTCAAAGGACTCTCGTACATGGGATCTCAATCCTCTTCTGATTGATCTCATTAAATTGGCATCTGCAAACACTGATATAAAGGAGTTAGTGTCCCATATCAGATCCGTTGACATGTTCCTACAACGTATTGGGTCCCGCACCGGCCCTTTGTGGTAGTGGAGGTGTCGGCTCCGGTGGTGGAAGTTAAACGGTGTGTTTGTTTTTCACTGTGACTTTCCGGTTCCTTCCTGGGAGGTACTCCCTCACCTACTTCAGCACTGTTACAGATATACAAGAACGCACGCGCGCGCGCACACCCACACCCACACACACACATGACAAAGAGTGCTGGGAAGACGGGACACCACGAGCGTAGCTCTCATCCTGTAACTACACTTAGGTAATTACACTTAGGTAATTACAAACACACACTCTCTCTCTTTCTCTCTCTCTCTCTCTCTCTCTCTCTCTCTCTCTCTCTCTCTCTCTCTCTCTCTCTCTCTCTCTCTCTCTCTCTCTCTCTCTCTCTCTCTCTCTCTCTCTCTCTCTCTCTCTCTCTCCTCCCTTCCCCCCTGGAGCATAGGCTTTAATTAAGACCCCATGTTTGAAGTAGATTTTGAAGGTTTCAAACTGGGTGTCCACAACCACAAGCTTTTCGCAGGGAAATCATCAAAGAGAGATTTAATGGGTATTTTAATTGGACATTCGTACCCGCGGCTGTGCTACAGATGGTGCCCAAGCGGCCCTGGTGTTCTCTTCTACACAGGTCGAAGATCAGGGCGGTCGATGAAGAGGATGGGAGGGATAGAAGATTGGGAGGTAGGACGAGGGTCGAGGCTTGAGAGGGGAGGGATAGGTATGGTGAGAAATAGGGTTAATTTCACATCGGAATCAAGTATAACGAGCCAAGAATATACCCGTCAAACACACACCGAAAGAGGTGTATACACACCTGTACAGGTGTGTGTACACCTGTACACACACCGTACAGGTGTACACACACCTGTACGACGTTGGTATAACGTTCCAACAAGTTTTAACACCTGCTAACCAGTTATAACAACCAATATAGCAAGTTGTAACAACGTTTTAATACGTCATAAACACGTTAAGCCAAGATGTAACAACTTTATTACAAGTTGTAACAAGCGGAAAATAGAGACAGTTTCGGTTTGTGTTTCCAGGGCTTTTGAGCCACGGGAAATAAGATAAGAGTCTGGAATGTCATCAATTTGAAGACAGCAGAACAGTGCAAACCTGGAACTAGCAGGTCCATTGTTTACTACAGTGAAAAGGCCCACACACTTTTCACATGTGGGGCCAAAACAACATGTGTAAAACATGTGTAT